GAGGCCATGGGTTCTATCCCTACTACCAAAAATAAAAAGCAGGGCCAGCCAGATGGTTCAGTGGATTAAAGCACCTGCGTAGGCAGATGCAGGGATAAGGGTTCAAACCCTGGCCTGCTGTGCCGGCCCTGCCCCTGGGGCACACACTGAGAGGGAACTGAGACCGGGTGTGGTATGTACGCCTCTAAACCCAGCAGTTTGGAGGCTGAAAAAACGGGAGCATCACTATGAATCCGATCTGTGTAGTGAGACCCTATACACCCTGTACTAAATACATAAAAAATAAATAAATAAAAAGTAAACAAGGGGCCAGGGAGATGACTCAGTGGAATAAGTGCTTCCCTGGCAAGTGCAAGGGCATGAGTTCAATCCCCAGTTCCGGGGGGTGGGGGGGGGGAAGTAAACAAATTTTAAATCACTTCATCAGTCTTATGTCAGAAATTGTTCATACTTGGCCTGGAATGTAGCTCATGGTACTGTATATGCTTAGCAGGTACAATGTCCTGAGTTCAATCCCCAGCACCAAAAATAACTTACTGGGGCTGCGGAGATAGATAGGTGATCTAAGTGCCTCCCTGGCAAGTGCAAAGACCCAGGTTGGACCCCCAGAATCACATGCTATGCCGGCCCTGAAACCGGACGTGGTTGCGCACACCTGTAATCCAAGTGCTAGGGAGGCCAAGGCAGGAGTCTGAGCTGGGTAGCAAGACCCTGTACCAAATAAATAAATAAATAAAGATTGAAAAAAATATATTTAATTTTCCCCTATAGATCTTACAATATTTCTTTCTTTCTTTCTTTTTGTCTTTTGAGACAACTCTGCAATTCAGGCTGGCCTTGAGCTCACTTAGTAGCCCAGGCTGGTCTCAAACTTGCAACAATCCTCCTGCCTCAGCCTTCTCAGTGCTGGGGTTACAGGTGTGCGCCACCACGCCCAGCTAATATTTCTTTCATATTTAACAATATTCCAAATGTCAGGGGTGGAGAGGAAGGGGAAAAAATATAATTGAGATGAGTGATGTACATGTACCAATTCACCACGGTGAAAAGAATGAGTGATGTACATGTACCAATTCACCACGGTAAAAAAAGGTTTTTTTTAGAAACAGGGTCTTAAATATATTTTTTTCAATCTTTATTTATTTATTTGGTACAGGGTCTTGCTACCCAGCTGATAAATTATTATTATTGTTATTATTATCATTATTATTATTTTGTCTTTTTGAGACAGGGTCTTGCTATATACAGTTCAGGCTGGCTTTGACCTCACTCTGTATAGCCCAGGCTGGTCTTGAACTCAATGATCCTCCTCCTCAGCCTCTTGAGTCCTGGAATTACAGGTGTGCACTGCCAAACCTGGCTCTTTTTATTTTAAGACATAATCTTGACAAAATGTCCAGGTTTACCCCGAACTTTCTTTTTTTGTTGCTGCTTTTTTCTTTTGTTTTTAGTTTTCAGAAACAGGGTCTTCTTTTGTAGTTCAGGGCAATCTTCAACTGACTATACAACCCAGGCTGGCATCAAACTTGTGGCAATCTTCCTGCCTCACCCTCCTGGGTAATTTAAGATTACATACATGTTCCACCATGCCCTGCAGTAGTCTATTGTTTTGCTTTGTTTGAGACAGGGTCTCACTATGCAGTTCAGACTGGCCTTAAACTCAGTATGTAGCCCAGAATGGCCTCAAACTTGTGATAATCTTCCCACCTCAGCTTCCTG